CATTCGGCATTCGTGCTGGCCTGAATCAGACGAGTGCCGAGACCGGGCACGGGTTCCATCGCGGTCAAATTCTCCTCGTCCAAACGACGCTTCTGTGCAGCAACACGAGGACCGGACTGCTGCGGTTTCCCTTCACCTGCAATCGACTGACCATCGCCAGCCGATTGGTCGACCCAGGCCAAACCCTTCTCGGTCTCCGCGACCGGAAGGAAGAAGGGCAATGCAGTTTGATTTTGGCTGTCCGACTGAACTGCGATGGCTCGCCGATTTCGTTCCATGACCGTGTCCAAATTGAGAAAATTGGTCAAATGACTGACCGGGAGACCGGACAGGGTGGCTAATGTATCAGCCAACTGATCAGGTGAAGTGTATCTGTATGAAGTGGTTGGGGTGAAATCGTTGTCAAAAACAATTCAACAGTTAGACAACATTCAAAACAGACACACAGTAAACTAGCAACGGATAAGAGGATGGATCTGATAAACTGCAAGCAACAGATGGAGCAATACAGATAGCATTGAAAGAATATTAAGTCACGCAAGGATGTCAAGTGTCGTTATCTATCTAGCATGTGATCATTACAGCATTCATCGTCTAGTTCAACTTCTCAAATTGCAACTGCTGTCGGACAACTTCCTAGTTTACACTCAGAAGAAAAAGGAATCCGGTCGACCCAAAAGAAATGATCTCAATGGATCAGGGTGATCACGAATGTCTTGGCCTCATGTGTTGACTCTCTTTTGCACTATGCCCGATGATAAAGTCACCAAATTATCACCCCGGAAGACGTGAGTCAGAATCCCACCTATGCCGTCTGTCTTTCCCCATTATGTGTGTCTTATGACAGCTCTTTGATTGGTCGCCTCTCCCTTTCCTGAAAATTGTCATTTTGTGCTCAATAAAATGAAGTGAAAATGAAAAAAAGGAATTCGCAAGTCGACAAACAAATTTCCCAATATCTCCCTGAAGAAGGTAACAGTCACATATGAACGACAAAAAATGGTCCCGTTCAGGGTAGACGTGCCCAGTATTTTGCTTACTCGTAATGCTACGTAGAACATTATTTTTATCAGACACGTCCTGATCGAGTCGTGTGTCACATTTCTGCTCTGTGTTCAGTCAAAATGTGAGTCAAACAAATCCTGGCACATTAACACCAGGAGGATCAAGGAAGCTATCAATACCAGGTCAGTTTTCTGTCGAGTCCATGTATCTAATCAATCCAGGAATATGACAGTGACAAAGCTCGATCCGCGAGGGAAAGTGGTGATCCCGGATGGAATGCAATAACAAAGTGTAATAAAGAAATGCGTACAGGAAACGGAGAATGGTTATCACCTGGATTCGACGAGGTCCTCGTTGGAAACTGAATCCGCCATTTGCACATTGTTATCGGTTGTGTCCGACTGCACCTCCATTGCTTCGTCTTTGAATAGTGTGACAATTGATCTGAAGGGTGAAAATATGGAAGAAAGATCGAATTATCTAAGGGGGTATAGTGAGTGGATTGTGAAACGGACAACTCAACAAACAGCAGGAAAACAACTTTCCCCAAGCTAGGTCGATCGATTGCACTGCAGATGAGACACAACCAGATCAAAATAGCTTGGTAGTGCTTTCTGGTTTTCCAGCTCACGCTTCATTTACATGAGGAATTGATCGTGCAATCAGAACGAATCCTTTACTAATCTCATTCAAATTAACTTTGACCGATCTTTTAAACTAAATAAGCGATCTCAATGTTACCCAGGTAATTAGATGTGTCAGTACAGACGTATCCTCGTCTCCCCACCCTCCACACACACACACACACA